TACGCGCATTGGGGAGGGCCTGCCATGTAGACCCCAGCACCGTCTCCGACTCGGATTGAGTCTCAGGGAAGTCTTCTCACCCTTCTGCTCTTTACTTTATTGATATGACATGGGAACATGCCATGATTTTAAGTGTGGGGTGGGAGACTTGCTCTAACTGTGTATTAACATGTATATAGTTGTTGTTGTGTTGTAGCATTAGATGTGGTGTACATATGTGAGTGTGTTATATTAGGAGTAGCTGACTTGGCCCAACGACGGACACTTGTTGACGGGTCTCTTGAGGGTCAAAGTCAGATATATATAGAGGACTCTTCCTGATGACGGACTATGTGGACAGTACTCTTGAGGGAAGTAGTCCATGTAGAATTTTTTTTTTATTTTATTTTCTTCTTTTAGGTAGTGTAGTACCTCCCCCTTGGTTTTTCTTTTGACCACGGTTCTTTTCCAAGGGTTTTTCTTGAACCGGGTTAGGTAGATTTTTCTTTTATAGTTTCAGGATTAGATGGGTGAAGGTCAGAATGTAACCCCAAATGTGCACACTTGCAAAGAAAACGAACTAAGGGTGTAAGGTCTAAGCTTGTTTGTGGACTCATAATCTATGCCTTAATTTTGCACATCTTGTCTGGCTTGAACACTCGTATGATTGTATGGATGAACTGATTCGGAATGAGTTACATGCTAAGTGTGTGTGAGTTGTTACTTGCATCCTATGCCTACATATGATACCTAGAACTTGCCCTGTGTGTTTGCAAAGCGAAATAGAAGTCGTTTGGTTTTAGAGATGATTGAGGCATTTCTTTGTGCAACCCTTTATACTTGAGAATCCACCTGTGCATATTATCATAGTTAACCCCTTTGAGCCTGAAGCCTGTTCTTTGATAACCCTATAATAATCTAAATCGTTGTGTTTGAATAAGCTCATTGTTTGAACCCTTACCTCCTAGAAGCACTTAATCACTAAAGAATATACAAAAGTCAAAGTTTGGGGTGGGAGAGAATAGAAAAAAAAAAGAGAAAAGGGGAATAAAGAAATGAAGGTTCTGGTTGGTGAACTGGCAGTGTACAATAAATCTGAAAAAAAAAAAGAGAAAAGAAAAGAAAAAAAAAGAAGAAGCCAGTTGTACCTAACGAAAAGTGGTGGTCACAAGTGAAACAAAATGTGAAATAATGATTGGGTTGAGCATGAAGGTGAAACAAAAGGAAGTGTGTATTAAAAGTGCTTAGGGAGGTTAGTCACTATATCCAAATATATCCTACCCGTCCCTTAGCCTACATTACAACCTATAAAGACCTCTTGATCTTTGACTGAATGGCTCGATTAGTAGAGTATTACACTAGGGGCAAGCTTATGGTGTGTCTGTGTGGCATGTGAATGCTCTTTGGTGAGAGTGAGTGAATTCTTTCTATATATGGTTCCTTATTGTTGAATTTTATGTGTGTGGAACTTCTCTCAGATTTTGTTTATGTGAGGGCATGTGACTCAGGAAGAAAAAGTGAGTCTTCACTTCTGTTAGAGTAATTAGAGTGAGCACAAGTGTGTCTTGGCATGAGAGTCTGCATTTGAGATATGATTGTGCACTGCTTGGGTCGATCATTGATAAATAGCAGGTGTGACATAAATTGGGGCAATGCATTGAGCAGTTAGGCCTAGAAGTGTGGTTTAGTTGCTCGAGGACGAGCAGAGATTTAAGTGTGGGGTGTTGATAATAGGTGAATTTGACTATAATCACACCTTAAATAATCACCTTCTTGTGTAGTTTTAATGCTAAAAGTGATAACAAAATGCTCTTATTAGTGCTTTTCATGATTTGCAGGTGATATGTGTACAAGGAAGGCTAAGGAGCAGTTTTGGAGTCAAAAATTGGAGAAAAGAGGCCAAATGTGTAAAT